GACTTGTTTTGAATATTTTTTTTTTCAATATTATGTGAGAAATAAATAAAACTCTTCACTTGATCAAAAGTTCTTTTTGAAATAGGCTACGGTAATTAAACACGCTGGCTTATAACAACAGTTTTATGATTTATATATCTGCATTGATGCGGCAAAAGGAGAAGAGAGAGATCATTCCCTTTTTATTATAAATAATATGTGTATATAACCGTGCGAAAAATGGTTATTGCTATCGATATATAGACTAGTCGCACCTAATGAGTGTGATTGGTGTTGAAAAATTATTTGAAAACAAGAACGAATCGGAAAAAAAGAATGAAAAAAAAACAGAGAGAGAGAGAGAGAGAGAGTAATGGAAAGAAGAAACTATACCTCAATTTAATGCAATCATCATTATTTATTTCATCATAAAAAACATTCTAGACATACAATTCAAATCATAAAAATCATTACCATCATTATCATCTAACTTCAGGCTATAAGCATAATGGGTATTTACAAGCGAAAACGTCAAAATAGCAATGATTTTTCTATCTCAACTGACAACGGCATCATTGTCGATAGTAAGTTTCTTATTTGACCTTTTTTTGTTTTTTCATAGTTGTGTCTTAAAAATAGTACATATCAATATACAACTAAAAAAAAAAAAGAAGAAGAAGAAGAGGTACTATTATGGGAAGGTCTCAAACAGATGTCAATGTATTAGATGAGATTTAGTCGGTAGTATAAACGACTATAACATGTTCTTTAATAATAGACACTAATCGAGAAACTTCAAACTCTGTTATCATATCGCGCAATATGTATATCATATAAAATAAGAGAACTAGTAGAAAGACAATATTTATGTATTTTTATTTTTTTCTATAATGATCAATTTACAGTAAAAGAGATGTTCTTTTTTTCTTCTGTTGAAGAAAGTTTTTATCTATTTATCCGTATGTTTTATGTTTTTTCTTTTTTTTTTTTATTTTTATCTATCTTTATTCGATTGTAATGATCGATCGCGAATCGTTAGCGGTATAGTAGAAGATGTGAATAAGAAAATATTGACATGTGAAAGTGAATTGATGCTACTGCTGTGCTTATTTTTTATAATTGTTACACATATGTGACAAAGAATGATTGAAGTCATTTACATGCAGATCTTCTTTTTTTTTATTCAGATCAATTTTAAAACTGTATTATAATATAAAAGAATCGAATTTTGTTATATATCGAGGTATGAACACAAAAAAAGTAAATTTAATAATTAATGTTATACTTGATCGATCAATTACAAATGCAATCGTACTGATGTGCGAATGGTTTCCTTGCATGTTAGTAGAATGTCGAGAAAATGAAGACACTCAACCTGTATTATTCTGTCACGCAGAATGATAATCACGTGCAAAGTAAAAATGAAACAAAAAAATCATCCCGAAAATTTTTCTATCAGAACATATAGATGAATGAATAAAAAATTATTTACTATTATCTACTTTGATCTTTTGATAACAACATTCGAATAATAAATGGCATATGAAATTAATCCGAATAGAAAGGCGAGTAAGCACATCTATATATATATATATACTTGTTTGCTCTGATTTATTTAATCGATTTCAATAATAAGCATATTTGAATTCAATTTAATAGAAAAAAAAAATCAATTTGTTTAGTAGGAGGTCATTTGAAAACGTGTGATTATCTATCATTGATTAACGACATACTATTTTTGTGACTGGCGGCCATGGGATGATGGTCATTTTAATGTGTATGTTTATTGACCCTTGAAAAATGTAAAATAGGTACATATAACCATCGCGTGTATTTAATATATATATATATATATCTACACGTGTATATTGTATAGAAAGAGACACAAACGTTTGTCAATAGGGCGGAGTAGTTATTTTTTTATATGTTAGGCCAATTAGTCGCATCCGATCGAATGTTTTCATTTAAGAAGACGAAAATAATCAACGACATTTATGTTCGCGACTTAATATTTTTCTTTTTCTTTTTTTTTTTTTTTTTGTTTATAAATTGTCTCATCTGAACTATTCATGCAAAGTCTTATCTGTTTACTTTCGTCCGATTTTCACGAGAAGAAGTAAACTGTTAATTATGCTTTTCATTGTTCACACCTCACGTTCATTCTATATTTAATGATATTAGCAATTATTTGCTTTCTTTGTCTCATCAACTTGATCATTTATAATAGAAATGTTGTTGACCAGTCATTGTTTATAGATATGTCTTTTTTTTTTAATATTAACCAATAGAATTTCTTTTGCTCTCTTACAATCATTGATAGAACGAATAATCGTCAAGAGAAGAAGAAGAAGAAAAAAACGAGAAAGAAAAAGAGAGATTTGTCTGCTATTGAGATAATCGAATATTTCATTTGATAATGTTAGGTAGTAGTAATCCGTCGACATATCTATTAGCAAGTAGTTCGAGAATGTTTCATGATGAAATATTTTCGGATGATAATGGTAAGAAGAAAATTTTAAAAAAACACAAATTAATTAATTTTTTTCTTCTTCTAAAGATGATTCTAACAATTTGAATAGTACTTCAATTAATAATTCTATTAATAATAACAATAATAATAATAATAATACAAATCTTAATGATGATAATATTCGTCGATATCGAACAGCATTTTCACGTGAGCAATTAGCAAGACTTGAAAAAGAATTTCTTAGAGAAAATTATGTTAGTCGACCAAGACGTTGTGAATTAGCAGCTGAATTACAATTACCAGAATCAACAATTAAAGTAAGCAAAAAAGAAAATTTTTTCATCATATACAAAAAACAAAAATAAGAAGACCTTTTTTTTTTTAATTTTTATATATTAGGTTTGGTTTCAAAATCGACGAATGAAAGATAAAAGACAAAAAACAGCATTTCCTTGGCCAGGTTATCCTGGTGATCCATTTTCATATTTTTCTTATTTTTATGCAGCAGCTGCATCAGGTTATGTTCCACCTTCTCCAACACAACCAACAAGTAATCCAATTCTACCTTCAATTAATCCATTAGCAGCTGCGGCTGCTGTAAGATTAGCTGCAGCTCGAGTTCGATCAACTCCTCCATCTCAAATATTGAATGGTTCAACAGATACAACAACTTCATGTTCATCAGCATCATCACCAACATCATCTAGTTCATCACCAAAACAAAATCATCAACAATATTCACCTTCAAAACCTTCAATTAATTTTGCTTTACCAGCTATGGGTTTAGCATCATTTAGATCAAATTCAGTGAATGAATCGACAACAACAACAACAACAACAAGCACATGAAAAAGAAAAAAGAAAAGCAAAATTTAAACTATCTCTTATTTGAATTCTTATCGCACATTCTAGTCGAACAATGATTCTTCTACTACTTAATTCGATGGACTTTGTACAAAATATTGATTTTTCTTTTGTCTTGTGTTTTTTTCTTTAAATCATTACAAATAAAATTATGTCGTTGTCTTTTATTATAAACAAATCATGAGCTATATACAACTAGTTTTTAAAAACACAAGGTATTAAATCTGCAGAAAAATCGAGTAATACAAAAAGATTGTCAGAGTATCAACAAAACAAAAAGCTAAGAGAGAAAAATCCAGTGTATAACAGATTCCAGATCCAACCGAATCCCAAAAATTTTTAACGCCATGAACTCTAGTCGTCTGAGAAATGTGTAGAATGCGCTAGTCACCGAATATAAAAAACCCGAGAAAAAAGTATCTCATATCTTCGATCCGACTCTCCAATTCCAATTAGGAAATTCCATTGAAATATCAAAGTACAGTTCTGAAAATTTTGAACTCGACGGGCTTTAGTGTACAAACAGTAAAGTAAAAGTATCTGCGAAATGGTCTTGCTCTGCAGTAAAAAAAAAAAGATTTTGAGGATTGAAACAAATTCGAAGCGCCTTTTATGTTTTGTTTTTCAGTGTTGTCTTGGAGTTATAGAAAGTTTTTGAGTGATAGCAGTTAAATCATTGCTTAGTCTATTAGACGAGAAAGATTTATACTTGTCAATGATGTCTTCGATATCATGTTTAAATATGTGAACTTGGACTTTCAATTTTTATGGTACGAAATCTGTTCACTTCGATCGTTAGTTAAATAATGTTAATAATTTCAAGACTCATTGTCTTATGAAAAAGATCCGATAATAAAATGGTTACCAAATTACATGATCATAGATTTATAAACTTCAAGAATTTCAATCTTGTACAAATGAAAAATCTGAGAAATGTAGATTATTTCCTTCAACTGTCCTAACTTCATTTATACTTCGGCATTACTCATATCAGTGTCATTCCTATGATATTTTTCTTGAAGTTAAGAATCCACTCGATTCACTTATTGAGATATAATAAAATTTGATTTTAAATATAATTTTTTGTTTTGTTTTTGAATACTAATTTTTATCAATGATATACAACGATTGAAAATGTCGGCTTTGTTGATCGCATCATCGTGTCATTTATCTTTCTAATATAAAATTCATCATTCTTTTTTTATGCATCATTAGTCGATTGCTTGTTAATAACCATGCTCATTCTCTTCTCATGTAATAATCAATAAACTTAATATATATTTTTTTTCTTCATTGATCAATCATTCAAAAAGGATGAAAGAAAAAAAAAACGAATATTCATGTTCATCTTCTTATCAATCTCTCGCTCTCTTGTCTCAATCATTTTAGCTAAATCATCATTTTGTTATAAGAGAGAGACTACAAGATACAAAATACAAGGTGTGAATCGATAACAGCATAGGTCGTAAAAAATAAAACAACAAGAGCAAATTCTTCTTTGATGAATACTTCAAAACAAAAAACGACAAGTGAAATTTTATGATATATTTTATCCTTTTGAAAAATTTTGAATTTTCTTGCATCATCGGCTTTGTCTTTATTATTTTTTTTATTTGGAACAATAATAATAATAAAAAAAAAAAACAATAAGACGAATGATAAAAATATTTTTGGTTATTTTTTTTGTTTATGCTTCTTTTGATGCCATATGTCGTAAGAGACTTGACATTAATTTTTCAGCTTTTTTTAAATCTTGTGCATATTTGGTTTTATATTGTAGACATGTATGATTGTCAGTTAAACGAAGTATAAGTTTTTCATTTCGATATTTTAAACAAAATCGACAAGCCATTGGATTATTAAGATATAAACGTTCAGCTTGTTTAGCAAATTCGTCCCATGATTGTATAAACATCTGAAGATATACATATATATATATATATATATATATATGGTTTAAGTATACTGCTACCTATACATACAAATCAAAAGAATAAATTTTTTTTTCTTCGTTTTCTTTAAAACATAATAATAACTACAGAAGAAAAATTGAGAAAACAAAAAGAATATCTGAAGTACAAGATAATAACGTGATTACTTTATTAAGAACAAAAACAAAAAAGCGAAATGACACGCACACACACACACACGAAAGAATATATTGACAAATGGCGAACTGATATTGTACGCTAATAGTAATGTAAGAACAAAAAAAGAAAAACGATGAATGTTTGACAAAGAGATGTGTGAAAAAAAAATGTTGAGTATTCTTAAAGTAATTGTAAATCAGAAAAACAACGTTCCATTTCATTTTGGAGAGTTTTACAACGATCACGTTCACTTTGTAATTCTTCTAAAATAGTCAAAACAAATAAATAAATAAATATATTTAAGCTTTATAAAATTAAATTACATCTCTTCGAACATAGGTTTCACCCTTCAGAAGTTTATGATTATTGTACTACGTACTAAGTGTCAGATGCAAAGAGTTTTACGTAATATATCGTCTATCTATTTTTAATACAAAATTTTATGCGTAGAAGCTTAACTTATTGCAAAACAAGAGATTAAGTGAAATATTTAAAGTATGTCTTAGATAATTATGTCTATCTTGTAATCAATTTGTATATCTTTTACGAGTCTAATCTACTTATAAGAGAAATAGTCCAACTATAACCAATCATTTGAGTGGACTCATTAGAAACTCTTGATAAGAGTAGAAAAGTTCTATGAAGGTTCGTTCTCCTATTTGCTTTTGAAGCCGAGTTATGATTATTTTACTAAATTTTTTGGGTATTCACTGGAAAATTAAATAATAGCATTTCGCTCATAGATAGATGGGCTTAATGAACCTTATGAGGGAAACCACCCGAGATGATACATTTTGGATTTATGATTAAATACATTAGATTTTCTATTCTTTTGATGGAATATCATTGTTTTTTTTGTAGATTCGATATCTGGAGAGGAGATCACGTTTTTTTTGTCGTTGAAATTTTTAGAAGATTCTAATGACTTCAACAGCTGTCTATGGACAAAGGTGAAAAATTTGGTATAACGGTCATAACTCCAAAATGGCAGCGCACGGAAAAGAATCTTTCTAGTTTCAATAGGCCCTACGTAATGACTAGGCTCTCATCTCAAACAAAGGATATCACCTCGGGTGATTCTCTCGTTAGAATATCCTATAAAGGCATCTAGGGGCGAGTCTTTTCTAATCTTACCGAGACTTTCTGATGGGCTAAATATGAGCTGAAACGATATAGTTACCTCGTCAGACGAACTTAATCGATGCTCCTTATTTCTAAAGTTGTCATGGTTGAGTGGCTATGTTGATCGACATGTATCCATAAGATACCGTGCTCAAACCTTAGCACCATCTAACATGAAATAATCCTGGAAAAGTCATTAACAGCTATTTGTCTCGGATCTAGGGAACTGCGGATCCGAACCTGATCGGGCCCAAACTCGAGGTTTTTTCCATCAATACGTGTCATCCTTCGTATACACGAACAAGTAGAGGATCAAAGTTTTAGCGGTTTATTCACCACTCTCTGAAGAAAATAATTCAACGTACAGCTATATCTTATTGCTCGATTTCTCATCTGGGAAGCAGCGAATTCACAAAAATGTGTAATCGGGTCTGACAATAAATAAAAGGTACTACATTGTGACATACATCTGGTCTTGTGTCGAGAGCTTCAGCTAGTATTAGTTCTAGGAAAGATATTGGACTATTGAATCTGTCACTGATTATGATTCTTTTATCAAACCTATTCGATAGTCTTCGATTAAATATCATTTTTTTTCATACATGCTATACTCAATATCAATTAAAAAAAAAGATTTCATCTATTTATAAAGCAAATCACTAATACATATAAGCATTTCTATATTTTTTCAATATAAATTAAACCAAAATCTACATTCAAAAAAAAAAAATAACAACAAACAAAAGCAAACCTTCAAGTAAATCCACTTCACGCTGTAGTCGTTGTACTTGTTTAGTAGAATATTCAGCGCGAGTTTCAGCCTATATACATGCAACACAGCAATAAAAACCATGCAAATAAAATACACAGCAAAGAAAAAAAAATCATATCTCATTCTCTCGTTTATTTATTGAATACCTGCAAGAACTTCTACAAATTCTTGTAGTTTATATCGTTGATCAAATACAAGATCTAATCGTCGTTCAGCCTAATTTTTGAGTTTTGTTTTTTTAAAATTTATTCTCAAGAAAGTCTTTGAACAAAAAAAAAAAGCAATATACTTACATCTTTTAAATGTTGGGAAACACGACGAATTTGATCTTCATAAGTTTGTTCTTTATTTTGAGCCTAAAATAAATGAATGAAATAATAGAATAGAATTTGTTTTTTGATAACATACATCATCAATACGAGCCAAAAACGATTTTAATTGATGATGAAGATTTTTGACTTCATGTTCTAAATCAACACATTTCCTAAAAGACCAAAAAAAGTATTTTTGTTTTTTGTTAATAGTAAAACATATAATTTTACATTTCTGATCGTTTAGCTCGATCTTCAGCTTTTTCAAGTTCATTTTCTTGTATTAAAAGTTTTCGTGCAACTTCATCATATTTTTTATCCGATTCTGTAGCAAGTCCACGAGCTTCTTTTAATTGTATTTCAAGCATTTCTGTACGGTCACTTCCAAGATTTAATTGATTTTCTAACATTTTTCTTGTTCTAGAATACATTAAAAATAATATATATATATTTTTTTATAACAAAAAAAAATGTCAAATTAACCGTTCTCGTTCATCAGCTGTATGCGATGCTTCCTCAAGTTTATTTGTTGTTTGTATTAATCGTTCCTCTGTACGTTCAAGTTGTTCTTCAAATGAATGAAGTTTACGCGTTAATTGACTAACTTCAGATTCAGCCTAAATTTTTTACAAAAAAAAATTGAAATAAAAGAAAAACAATATAAATTAAACTTACTAGTTCACGAGCATGTCGTTCTTTTTCAAAATCTTTACGTGAACGTTCTAAATCATCTTTAACTAATTCAAGTTCATCTCGTAATTGTTGCATTTTTTTTCGTAATGCATCTGCTGCTGCATTATTTACTGATGAACGTTGTAATGTACCAGTACCAGAACTTATATTTGTATTCATTTGAGATGATGATGGTAGTAAACTTGACATATTTAATCACTAAACTTTTTAGATTATTGAATTTTATAATAATAATGCATCTGAAAAATAAGAAAAGTGAATTGGATTATTGGTACGAAATAAATAAACAAGTACTATCTATTAACCAATGGTCCTTATGAACTGTGGCGACCTCACTAGAGTGCATATGTGATTGTGAAAATGTATACAAAAGTGTCATATAACGGGGAATAGTAAAATGTATAAGTGTCACTTCATTCATCTTATGATAAAAGTACTTTTAAAAGAAAAAAAAAAGAAAATGTAATAAGATTAGACCTTCGGGCTGCGATGGAATACAGAAATTTAAACTATATATTTGTAGGCTATGCTTTATTTTCATTCAGGAAGTGACAGGCAGCACAAAACTCAGTTATTCTTCAGATTAATAACATTCTATACATTAATTGATCTATTTTACAGGACACATCAAAGAGTGTGGGTACCTCGGTGTCGCTGATCTATAGAAGTGTCCAAAACTTTAACTTGTCATTAGTTTAGTTTTCTACACAAACACTACTAAAAACTGAAAAATATAGAGTTTCTAGATGTTTGTGACATTGCGGAAGACTTCCAAAGATCGAAAACATTTTCTGTATTAGATATAGAGATTTTTTGAAGATCGAAAAGAGTCTATATAAATTTTGATAACTAACTGATAAATTCCTTAACAACGGTAAATGAAATATTTTGATATTCATTTTATGCTGCGATAAATAGCTTTGAAGAATTGCACAAACTTAGAAGTTTTAAATAATATACGTATTTGATCTCATAACATTTTTCTCAAAGTAGAAGTTGTTATCCTGTAGATATATTGGTACTACTACTGAGATACAAATTTTAATTAAAACTTTAAAAACTATATGTTTTACGTGTCTATTTTTAATTTTTGATGAACATGTTAAGCATAATAAAAAAAAAAGATCTCTTTGTTCTAAACGATTCTAACGAAGCAATGATACATACTTGATCTTTTATTTAAATACAGGATAATATTAAATAGAAAAAAAAAACTAAGAGATACTATCATTTAATTTTTATCATATACATACCAATATTTGTAGTGGTTTTATTATTTTTTGACTACATACAACGAAAGATAGATTTGAAATTTTATTATTATTATTTTTTTTTCTGTTTTTAGAAAAACTTCAACTAAAATCTGTTGCATAACGATAAATATGAAGAATAGAAGAATTACACTATATAAAAACTTAATAAGCTTACGAACAATTTGCTCAATTCTTTATAAATATACATTGTCCATCTAAACATAAGGGAAAGGCAACGAAAAGAGAAAGAGTCAAAGTGTATTTACTTTGGAATAATCATCATCATCATCATCATTACTAACACCGCTGTCTCAGCGAAAGAAGAGAAGAAAAATTGAACCCGAACGATCAAATTATAATCATTGTTAGGTCGACAAATGGAGTGGGCAGGCAAGCAACTGACTCTTTGTGTGCATATTGCTATCGGTTGTTTTTGGTCGTCGTCCTTCCGTTCGTTTTTTTTCTCTCTTTTCTCTTGTATACCAACTATTACTACCACGCAAGAGGTAAAAAGGTTGTAACAGCACACATATAGATTAACCCTTTTATCATCGATAGTAAAGAAAAAGAGAGAGAGAGAGAGAGAGAGAGGAAGAAAGACGATGTCGGTGTGAGTCAATGACCGGCTATTGGTGCTAGGCAAACGCCTTATATACATTCTTTGCTTACATTTGATGAAAAAGAGAGAGGGAGAATAAGAGACAACCTATAAGCAACAAATTGAGCACATACAAACCAACTGACTACTTAAGTTTGTAGGGGCACAAACTTGCAATCATAATATATATATGTATATTCAGAATAAAAGAGTATGAGACAGAAAAGAAAGCAATGTGATTGCAAAAGAAAAAAAAAACTTACACATATATATTTAAATTGTGCATTCGTATTCGGCACTATCATATTGATGATGTATTGAAGTATTCGATATTTCAAACATGATTATTATTATTAATATTACTTCATCAATCCTTCATAAAAGCAAATTACTATTCGTTGCTTATCATAATATGACATTTGATGATGATGACAGCCGAGAAAAAAGAAAGAACCTTCAATTCCATTCTGTATGAATACATATGTATGTTTCAATGTAATAAAATAATTGAGACGATAAAACGTAGATGATTTAAGAAGGAGACAGACTTATTTGTTAAGATGTGATCATTTGCATAAATATTTCTATTGTATACTCAATCGGATAAAGAGAAGAAACCAAATAAACACACCTGTTCGATTGAGGTTACATGAAAAGAATTCAATATAATCGCCTTATAATATTTTCTGTTATGAAAAACTATGATACATTGAAAATTTTAATGGTAGTACAAGGAATTTTTGTTGTCATATGTACATCAATAAATGTTTGTTCTTTCATCTTTTATTTGAAGGTTACATGAAAAATACTTTTTATCATTGAGAAAAAGGGTAATTATTCATTGTTGAAGCCTAGAAAAGAAAAACCCACAATAATGATCTTAAGATTCAAGATAGTTCAAATAAATTTCGATCATTATCAACAAAATGATATTTTTAACGCCCGGTGGTAAGATTATCAATTTTAAAAGTCTTATTTAATTTATTATTTGAATATATTAGGCAAAAGTTTAGTGTTAATAATAATCATAATAATAAATTTCATTTCGAATGTTATTTTATCTAATTGTCCATTGTTACATAGTTTTACCGATAAGAGTGGTATTCTTATTGTCAATAAAACTATTATAATGTATACTGGATTGCCTCTCCATTGTCAATGGTTGATTGCAAGTTCTCTTCATGATGAGGTAGTAAATTTTTATTTATTTGTCGTCATTTTTAAGATAAAATTTCTTTTTTTTTCTCTTTTGATTACGTAGAAAATTATTATCGAATTTGAATCGATATATATACCAATATCAATAAAAGAATATTTACATATAGGTTGTCATCGTGGATCTATTAATTTATGGACAGTAGGATTAAAACATGAAAAAATTGAACTTTGTGGTGATCGTCATCATGTACGTATTGGTGGTATTGGACAAATGTTAATGATTGAACTTCGTATTATTGATCCAAAACTTGATGTTTATTTTCTTATGAAATATCAATTGATTCAAATTCCACGTATGTTTATTATTTTTGTTTATTTATTTGAAACATATATTTTCTTTTTTAGAACTACCTAGTAGTACACCTTCGACTTTATTAACATCGACAATTTTACCATTAGAAAAATATGTAAATAATCAAAATTCATTATTTTCAGAATGTGGTTTAACATGGACCAATGGAAATCGATATTATAATGAAATTTCTAGTCGGATTGTTGGTGGTCGACAAGCTTTGGCACATAGTCATCCATGGCAAGTTCTTCTTAGTAATCGAGGTCAATTTTGTGGAGGTCAGATTATTTTTATTTTTCTGGTTTTTTTTTTTAATCTGACAAATATATTTTTCTTGAATATCATAGCGAGTATTCTCAATACAAGATGGTTAATAACTGCAGCACATTGTGTCAATGGGTATACATATATATATGTCGTATCGAAGTTACACCGGTCGACGAAGTTATAACTTCGACGATGATCGTTGTCGAAGTTAATTTTGATTCATCTAGCAATAAATAATTCATTTTATTAAATATCATACTGCTGAATATATAATCAAAAATAAATTTTTCTAAAATAAATATTCATTTATTTAAGAATATTCTTTAAATAAATGAATATTTACTTTAGAACAATTTATTTTTGATTATATATTCAACAGTATGATATTTAATGAAGTGAATTATTTATTACTAGATGAATCCAAATTAACTTCGACACGACATATATATATATATATATAATCATATTTTATTTGACTTTTGATTTTATTTTAATACAGAACGCATCCAAGAAGTTTATTGGCAGAATTTGGTATGCATGATCGATATCGAATAGAACCTTCGCGAGTCGCTAGAACTATCAAACAAATTGTAGTTGTATGTATTTGAACTTAACTAAATCGAGAAAATATAATTACATAATGAATCAAAACTATCTATGACGCGAAAGTCTTTAGCACAAAATATTCGCCCATTTTTCGGTCACTAAAAGATAATTGATTTGGGTTAGAATTTTCGAGGAAACTTTTCGGTCGAGACAATGTTCACTTAAAGAGTAATAGAAAAGTCATTCTAGAGATATCGAAATTTTACTGGGTTTTTTCAACAAAAAGCTGTGGTTCTCTTCGGTCACGTGGAGAAAATCGACTTTAAATTTTCTGTGAACAAAGTTCTTAATGAGATTGGTTTATTGGATAAGTTATAACTTTTCTAATCAACTAATTGCATTGAGAACTTTGTTCGCACAAAATATAAAGTCAATTTTTCATGCGATCTTAGGAAAACCACAACTTTCTGTTGAAAAGCCGAGTAAAATTTCGATATGTCAAGAATGAAGGTCCAAAAAATCCAAACTATCCTAGCCTTTTCTATTACTCATCAAATGAACATTGTCTCTGTCGAAAAGCAAGTGGACACCTGAAGCGGTTCTTGTGTTAGTTAGTATCAGAATTTTTCGCTATTTTCGAATATATTTTCCTTCTGGGGTAAGCGAAATAGCATTTTTTTTGCACAGTTCGTAGTTGTTTCAATTCAATATTATTGTAGAGCACTGAATTCTGTATAAACTGAGGTATTACAATAAGTAAAAGCTCATTTATGTGTTTTCACTAAAGAGCTAGTTTCAATGGAAGTCGACATCGATAAAAAAATCATTACTTCTAAAAGTGCAAAATTCTTAATATCTGCCGTGGAAGATAAAACAGAAAACATTGCTCTAAAAAACTAACCAATTAAAAAACGATTCGTATTTTGAATTTGATAGGTTTTAATCTAAATACAAAATTGACCGAAGTAGCAGTTTGTACAATCATTATGTTGGAACTTTGAAAACAATTTGATGATAGTTATCCAATCTTAGCCCATAAGGAAATTCAGAAAATATATTCGAAAAGAGTGAAAAAGTCTGATTCTAACCAACTATCTTTTAGCATTCGACGAATATCAATGTTTTTACTATTGATCATTATGAAAAAATTCGAAATCACGTTTCAAATCTAAAATTATATTAAACTCTTTATTTTTTTTTTTGTGAATAGTATCCTTCATATAGTGGAAAATCAACTAGATGGATGCATGATATAGCTCTACTTCAATTATCTGAACCACTTGTATTTAATTCATTTATTCGATCTATTTGTCTACCATCAGTAAATGATGTTGTTAAACATGGTGAACGAACACTTATTACTGGTTGGGGTTCAACTCGAGGTAAAATCTATGTTGTTTTTTTATAAAATTCAATAATTTATATTCTTGATAAGGTACGGAAAGTTTTCGATATTTACGTGAAGTTGAAGTAGTTATTCAATCAAATGATCAATGTGGATTAAAAGCAATTACATGGGAAACAAGTCTTTGTGCTGGTTTATGTGAAAATTCAACATGTGATGCTTGTCAAGTAAATTTCAAAAATTTGATATAATACAATAAAAAAAAATCAATTTTCTCTTATCTATAGGGTGATTCAGGTGGTCCTATGATTTTATTACGTAATGATCGATGGCATTTAGTAGGTTTAATTTCATGGGGTTTTAGCTGTGCTGGTCTTGGTGTTTATACAAAAATTTCTTATTATTCAGAATGGATTTTACAAATAATTTATAATTCAAATACATGATCGTGATAGTTTATTTAAATATATTTAATATTTAATCAAAATAAAATAAATAGTTATCACATTAATATTGGAAAAAAATGATTATATTAAAATTTATTGAAACAATCATAGAAAAATTAATTAAAAAAAATGCAAAAAATAAATTTTTTTTTTCTTCAAGTAATATGGATTCCTTCACATAGTTTTTCACGAAAATCAATATAGGGATGTGCATTCAATTTTTGTATAATCACTTCAGGTAACGGTTCATTGATTTGAGATCTAAAAATAAAAATGATTTTTTTCGAATCCATATGCGGAGAAACGTTTTGAATCTGGAATAGGTTCAATAATCTTTGTAAGACCTTTTCCGGGAAGTTAAGAATAGAGAGAAGAAAGGCGAATCTTTTTATCCCATCAAGATGAAAGACATTACTATATAGGGTCTAATGTTACCTCAAGAACGTTTTCGAAAATAGTAACATTACGAAAATGTTACTAAGGCGATTGAAAATTTTGACATTTGTATAAGAATTTCGATGTACTATCAATCTAATGGAATCGGAAACAAATATTTGAGCCTATGATACTGGAATTTCGGACAAGCTTCAGTCTACTCAAACTATGTAGTTCCACTCTCTATGGTCTAATTAATTACATACCGATAAATATCAAACATATTTGATACAATTAATTCTTCATGTTCATCAGCTCGTTTCTTTTTCGCATCATGAATCTAAAATCAATCAATAATAATTAAAAATCAAAAATAAAATAAATACTTACATCACCACTTAATGCAAGACATATATTTAATCCAATTGTTGTTACGAATAAATACCAAAAAATAAAATATAATTCACTCCATCTAAATTCAATAAAAAAAAAATACATGTAAATGAAAAATGAAATCCATCAGATAAAAATTTACTTTGAATTTGTTGCACTTCGAAAAGCATTTACAAAAACAAACCATTGATTTACAATCATTATATTATAAAGTGTAACAAATGATGACTTCAAAAAAAAATTTATAATAACATTTAATAACATCTTTCATAGTATGAATATCTATTCATAACGCATGAATAATAGACGTCTTAGCTTTTTATGATATGTACGATAATTGGGGAGAGGCTATTGTCTCGAGTAGATATGGGCAAGATAGTTCTGGTCCCGGGATCGAGATCGAAAATTATTGGTTCCGGATAGGGATGCAGCGGTGACAATGCACCGTCCATCAGTCGCCGAATGGTATGATGGATCGGTGGGCCGATGATTCATCGTCACTGTTGCATTCCTAGTTCTGGATCCGGGACAGAAACTAATCTAACATTATTTGTCATACTTAATCTTAACCGATAAATATATTTCTTAATTTAACTTACAAAAAAATCATCAAAACCATTTGGCCAATATTGAAGTTGTTCATAGGTCCCACAAACTCTTTAACAAAATTAATTTGTCAAATAGAATATAAATTAATTATATATACTTACAATATATTTGTCTGATTTTGACGAGTGTAAAGATCACCAATAGCACCTCGAAATAATTCCATACCAAGAATTGAATATGCATAATAAAAACTCTATATATGAAGAAAAAACAAAATCTCTATCTATATCAAAGAATTTAACATACAAATAAAACTCCGAAAAAAGCACCACCATTTCGAATTTCATCAATAACAGTACCAACGATAATTTGTATATTTTTTGATGCTGGTAAAAATCGAACTAATCGATAAATAAATAACATATTACATGTTTTTAATGCTTCCCATAATGTTAAAAATGGTATTTGTTTTTGTGTTATATTCAAATCACTAAATCAAATTATTTTACAATAAAACAAAAAAAAAAAGAAAAAAAAAATCTTTTTTCACCTTTCAGAAATAGCAGGTGAACCATGAATTGCCAAATAAATTATTTCTAAAATCTATTAATAATTAAAATAATTAATATTTTTAGATGAAAATATTTTATTTTTTTTACAAGACATGCAAAAGCTACAACTGCTTCGAATATATTTGCTGTTGATGAACGAAAAAATTTATCTGGACCAAATGACCATGCTTTCATAATGATTTCAAAGACAAAATAAATCATAAGACTTAAATTAGCAAATGATATAAGTAATGTCTGAGCGACTAATTTATCGTATTCCGAATGTAAATGACGATTACTAACTTCAATCTGTCGAAAAATGAAATAAATTGAATAAAAATATAATTTCAAGAAAAAAATTAAATTCAATACTAACTGTAGCAAGTAAAACACTTAATAGAGCAAATAGAGTACCAATACTATCGAAAATCTTCGAACGACCAACAGCTTTAAATCGATCGATTAAATTGTCATTTAATGTTTGAATTTCAATTTCCTAAAATAAATTGATTTTTCTCTTTATTTTATTTTATTTTTATTTTTATCTTACAGCTACTAATTTAGGATTTACATCTAATAATTGCATTATTTTAGAATATTGATCAAGATCGATTACATCTGTTTCAAATTGTAATTCAAATAATCTCTAAAAAATAGAAAAATTATCAAACTATATTCAAGAAATCTTTTTTTGTTGTCTCTAACTTGATTGATTCGATCGGAATGCCATTTATTCATTGATGCTGAATTGACAATTATTTGAACAACAGATATTGGTACTGTATTTCTTTAATTAAGAGAAAGAAAAACATTCAACTATGTTTTAATGTTCTTTAATATTATTTTGAAACACAAAACAATATGAAGAAAAACTTTTTTCGAAAACTATATAAACCTATTTTGTAAAAAATTAATATTTACGTATTTTCATTTGATCCTCCATTTAATATTTGTTTTTTTAAAATTTCAAATGAAGCTCTTATGGCTAAACGTCGTCGTAATTGTGAATTAAGAATAGAATTTAAAAAATATCCTCGAAAAGCTCGATAAACTACAGCAGTTATTATATTTTGTATCCAATAAATGCCTAAATTAAATAAATAAATAAAAGAAAATTTCATTGTTTATTATCAATTGTCATACATTTTACCAATAATAACAAAGACGAGAAAGAATAAAACATTCAAACGATTATCTGAATAAGCTAATGAACATAAAATGAAAATAATTATTTCTAATTCTATACCAAAAAAAATCAATATTACCTGGCATCATTACATCTGGATTATTAGCTGTTGAATAAAGCACAAGTAATTGAAAGACTGAATCATGTAAACTAGCAAAATAAGTACTGCCTTCACTATCATTGACAGTCTAAACAAAAAGAGAAAGAGAATTTTGAATCAAGATACCATATATTTGATTTTGTAGAGCTAGATGCGGTACGTCATCGAATAGTATGCAAGAAATCAAGTTTTTCTCAAATTTTGACGTGCTGAGGGTTCATATACTGTAAACTTAATTTGATACAGTTATAGGTGTGCCCTTCAATTTTCTATAATCAATAGTTTTCATTGTTACTTTCTTTATAATTCAAAATGATCCCTTTTCTTTGGTCTGAATTATTTCTTCACTATTTGATATTCCAGTATGCTAAATCCTGCATCACAGAACAAGTAAATACCAACGTGAAATTCTTTCAAAAATTGCATATTATCAAGCTCTATATGTTTCACAAATAGAATCTTTCGGAACAATAGGAACTCATTACCACCTTGCAAGCTTGTCCTCTAAAATAGTATATTTTTCTATATGAAAGGGCCGGTATGTTGACAATATCTTAGCAATACTCAACGGTTCTAATAAAATTGGTATGCATCAATAATCAGCACAGCATTACAAATAAATTGATATAAATTACTAGTTTATAGATGAAAAAAAATTTTTGCCCTCCAAATTCCTAGAGAGGAATACGAGCATATGGATAAATTTATTTTTGAAATGAACATGAGCTATTAATAGATTCTAATAGACTTTCATGTAGAAATCAAATCTGTATAAGAGATCCAGAGTCTCAAATTTTTTTTTCGATTTATCAAGAAGTTATTTAGTTTAGTTCATTAGCTATGCTGTGCTGATTATTGATACATAACAATTTTTAATAAGATCGTCGAGTACTATTAAAATTTCGTCAATTTTTCTAAGGAATAATCTTGCAAGTTAATAATGAGCCCCTTGCTGTTACAAAAGTTGTTATGTTTAAAATATAAAGCTTGATAGTGTGCAGTTTTTGAGAGTTTCACATTAGTATTCACTTGTTCTGTGATACAAAATTTAGCATACTGGAATATCAAACAGTGAAGAAATAAGCCCGACCTAAGAAAAGGGACCATTTTTAGTTATGAAGAAAGTAACGATTAAAACTATTGATTATAGAGTATTGAAGAGCACTTATAACTGTATCGAATTCAGTTTAAAAACAAAATTTGTATAAATTTATTTTAGGAACCACAATATCTATGAGTACCATATATATTTCCTCAAGCGTCACAACCAGTATATTGACCGTCAAAAAATCAAAAATTTGAAGAAAATTTGATTTCTTATATATCATTCAATGCATCGTAAATAGCGTTACAATACCACATATATGGTATCCTAGTTCTAGATAGGTCACTAAAAGAATAAATACCTCTGATCGAGGAAAGAGAAACATGGCAATAATAGCAAAGAAAAGAATATGAGCAAGTGCCATTGCAACACAACTATAAATAACAAGACATAATGATGTTTTTTTTCCCTGTAATTTTTCTTACGCAATTATAGTTAATAAATCTTTTTGTACAGCTTTTAAAGCTTTTTTCATTAATTGAGATGATTCAATCATAAATAAAGGACGCAAAATACGTCGAAGACGAACCTAAATATTTTATATTTTATTTTCAAAAAATCAATTAATAATCTTATATGACATACACCATCATATATATGACGAATTATTGCAATCATAACAAACCATTCACATAAAGAATAAATAGTTACAATAAAAAAAGCAATAAACCAAAAACGTTTCCGAGCATGTTTTATACCAAGACAGGCAGTCTATTGATCTTAAATTTTACTGAAAACAAAGAAAAGAATCAGCGATTTGATTTCTTACTTTAGTACAAATATAAAGAAGAAACCAAATGAGTGTTAAACCCTCAATGATCATTAGTAATGAATATGGAAAAGCAATTCGATCGGGTTTATCACGAACATCTGAAGTTACACTAAAAGATGATGGTCGTTCAAACAAAGCCAAACAAAGATTAATTGTTAGAGCAATACGGTGCAATCTGTGTGATTAATATTGATTTATTACTATGAAATCATTCATGTTAGTTTTATTACTTTTGAATTAATGAACTTGAAAACCATCGATAAATTAATAAATAATTCTTTGTTACTTTATGTACTATTGATCGATAGTTAACAGCATCTTCGAGAAAGACAGTGGCACATAGAAGTGTATTTGCCGCTAAAATAATTAAAATAATTCGAAAAAACAAAAACTTTGTTTTATATGATTAACATACACCAAGAACAATCGTCATTTTCTATTGGTTTTGGTATACCAAAAAAATTTCGGAGACGATTTTTCATTGATATAGGTGGACTAAGCATTATAGGATCAGATTCATCATCTGTATTTATAGATGAAACTGTTTGTCTTCCTGGCATATCTACAAATGATAATATTTTTATTTAATATATTTGTTTTCTCTAACAGTCATAGATGTATTTATATATTAAAGAACCAACAAAAAAAGAAAAAAAAAGAGCTATATTCATCTATATAAAGATCAACATCTTCTTGTTGTATTTGAATAACGTTCTAATAGATCTTCTCGAAATTGTTGAAAAAGTAATAATGATGTATCATCTTCAATTAATTTCGTATTTGGTAATTGAGATTTATCAATAAAACCTAATCGATAAAGATAAACATTATTCAATACAGCATAATCATAACCAGCCAAAAAACTTTCACAACACTAAAACAAAAAAATTTTCGTATAAAAATGAAAGAAAATTCTTTTGATTTTTTTTTCTTCTTTACATACTTGACTTATTCTTGCATGTGCATGTGCTTTAAAACGTGAATCAAATATAGGTACATCTATAGGTCCAACATAAAAAGGTTTCCATGGTTGTGAATAATGTGGTCGAAATATTGGTAGAATTTCATCATTTTTTGTTTCTTGTTTCCATGCTTGATAATTTGTTAAAAATTGACATGTTGAACAAATATCTTTTTGATATGGTTGAATTTGTTCTTCATTCCATAATAATATTAATTCACGTTTATTTTGTGGTAATGCAATCGAACGTTTTAGTGTATCAGAATGAATTTCAAATGCTGGAATAACATATAATGTACGATTAAATATTTCATTTTTATTGGATTTTTTAGTATAAAATGATATAAGATGATGAAATAGATCAGGTGATGGAAATATATCAATATCAAGTGTAAGAATATATTTTACAGATGGAAATGTATTGCCAAGACGAGCAACATTACGTAGAAGATTGGATGGATATGGAGTAGAATCTGTTTCATCAGTATGATTAACATAATTCATATGTTGACAATTGACAGCATATTTAACACTATGAGAATTATGCTGACTTGATATTGAGCCTAAATTAAGTTTGAAATATTTTCACTATAAGTAATAAAATAATTAGTTACTACTCATTTTTACTTCTCTTTTCATGCTTTTTTCTTGTTGGGAAATTAACAATTGTTAAAATATAATAAAGTTTACCTGTCGTAGACACGAGGGCGAAAGTGCAGGTTCGGAACGCCTAGCACCTCAACACCTTTTGTTACTGAAAGTTGGTAGCGGTAGGAGTATACAGTTCACACTCGAGACAACTGTTTCTCAGCTATTGTATGGACAAAACAAACCGATGTTCGGGTCAAATGAAAGAGGACCCTGGCTGATCTCAGGATTGGTCTGGACAAGCCTATATTTTGTCCTTACAATAGCTGAGAAACAGCTGTCTCGAGTGTGAACTGTACACTCCTACCACTACGAACTTTCAGTACTAAAATGTGTTGAAATGGTGCTGGGAGTTCAGAACCTGCACTTTTTCCCTTGTTCAAAACTCTATGAGCACCACAGCACCATTCCAGTCCCCATCTCAGCACCTTGAGAATAGTTTAGTGCATTGTGCCTGCATTTTCTCTCTTGCGTAGACGTCATTGAGACTTTTCAAAAGTAACCACCATAGAACTATACGATGGCGCCTACTATAAGGAGATTCGTTTCCAGGAAAAATTATTTCGTCGACTATGGAGAAGTTTTCTGTATTTAGAAATTACAGGTTTTAAGGACGATTTTTCCCAATGTTATAATGTTTTGAAGTCGTTAATTGGTAATTCAACTGCCAATAATGTTATATTTTGTCGATGTATTAAAAGGAAATATTTATGATAAAGATTTTCTTTTTATTAATGCTATGATTGTTTATCCGAAACCTTCTTTCTCCGAAAAGAAATATAAAAACAGAAAATGCAAGAGTTCCTAATGCTATCTGGATAAAAAGAAAACATTGAAAAGTATTGCGTAATATATAGCATTACTTGTCGAAGTAAATAGAAGTCAAATCAAATTCACTTCAATCTCTGACATGAATACTAAGCTTAGGAATTTCATCTATGTGCAGAACTAATATCTTTTTCATTATCTTTAAAAGAATACTGTTGTAATTATTTACATTTATGTGTTTGGTGAAATACTGTCCGATATTCGAACGTACACTTGATAAATGTACAAGGAAAACTATGACACAAGCACATGACTATGCTGCAGTTTCGTGAAAGTCTTGTATGATCTTTACTTCTTGGTATGTCATTCGAAATGCAAACTAATTGATCAAAAGTTCGAAGAAAAGGAAGAATCTGCACGCATGCTGGTTGCTATGAGAAAATCAGGCAACAAAAATCAAGAGAAGCAAGTGCGATGGCAGCAGAGAGAACCAAAACGTACCGATCTGATTGCGAAAAATTCTTTTACCTTGATTGTTTCAACGAGAAGCATCACTCTATGTAATAAACGATTTAGACAGTGGCGGACACGGAGTGGATGAAAGGGTATGCATCACCTACTGATGAGAAAAAAAAGAGAAAGGAACTGTTTTTTATTATTTTCCTCATTAAAGTATCCCATGAGCCAACGGTGGCTCACGTCGTCGCGAATGGGTTCAGTATCCTGATCAATATCTAATTTTGAAAATATGATTATTCAGTAGAGTGTCCAACTGTACATTATTTAAGTATCTACCAGTAGAGCTCATCTGGTTCAAGAATTTTTGAATCCGGACTCGACTGATTAAAATTTGTTAGACCCGAAGCCGGTCGGGTAAGACCCGATAGGCTTTATCTAGCAGAGTCTGACTCGAGTCGGGCCACAAAAATTTGACCCATATCGGACAGCGGTGTCTATTTCTAGTTATTTTATAAACAATATCGAAAATAAAAAGAAAGTGAATTTTGTTTTCTATCGATTCATTCTATGCCAGTAATATCTTAGAAAAAAAAATGATCTTTTATTTTTTCTTGTGATGACAAAAAAGCTACTTCTAATTTTTATGACATACATTTTCTAACGTAATATCAATTTAAAATAAGAAATATATAGACTATTGTGATAAGATTCTATTTTACAGATATTCACTTCTTATTTCTTACTTTTATAAGCTTTTGCTGAGATAACAAGATGAACATTGAGTACTTTAAATGATCGTCGATTACATCGAAGCCATATTGATGCATAATCAATATCATCACTACCTCGATTACCTTTAACATATAAACTTAATGAAATTGGTCCATCCCAAACTTTTGCATGTTGCAATAATAAATGAAGTTGTTCAATATTAGTATGTAAATTTAGAGATATAAAGTCAAAATTTTTAGTTAAATTTGTTTGATATTGCACAAAATTTTGTATAATTAAATAATTTCCTGAATCATCAAAACGTTTTTTCATTTCAATTGTTTTATAATATGGTCGTGTATCAAGATCATAATCAGGTTCATTAGTATTTTCTTGTAAAAATAGAACACTTGAAAAAAGAACACCATTAATAAGTGTCATAAAAAGAAAACCAACCATAATAATAGAAAAAATTTTTATAATACGATTTAATTTTGGTCGTCGACTACAATAAAGACTATATCGAAGAAGATATCGTTTTATACGAAGAAAATAAATATTAATATGAGCCATGAATTAACGTTATATGATAACAACAAAAAAAAAACAAAAATCTATTTGGTATTTTTCTTTCTATTTAAACGCCGGTCGAATCGAACGTGCGTATGGTGTAAGTAATTGATTAAGTCCAAAATCCGACCACTTATTTTGTGTTTCGTCAACAATTTCCGAAAGTAATGTTAAATCACCTTCAAATTCGTCTGGATTATACAATAAACTGTGATTATGATTAGCACCTGTACCTTGATGATTTGCTCCTGTACTATCTGTACCAACAGATCCTCCACCTGTATGATTAGGTACACCGTGTGATGGTCCACTACCAGTTCCAATACCAGTTGTACCTCGACCTGTTGAACTACCTGTTGTAACACCTGTACCACTAGTAGCTGCTGCTGCTGATGCAAGTAAGTAATTAGCGTCAGAATTATCGTCCGGATTTCCTAAATGTGGTAATTCGTCAAGAATCCAATCACGATCAATTAATGCGAGCTGACGCCCATCGGGCAAATAAAGACCATCCATTTGAACATATAAATCTAGAAATAACAGATTGAATATATTTCTTTATAATTTGAATAATATTAAAACAGATATTGCTAATCATCTAGGAAGCACAATAAAACAAACTTATCATAGGAATAAACTGAAATTGAATAACAAGAAAAAAAAAAACTTCTTATATAATTAAAATGACTAGGAAAAAAAAGCATAAAGGCTGATCTACCTAACAAAAATGTATGCAAATAAAAAAAAAAGAAAAAAAGAGAAAGAAGAAGAACATAAATAGAATATTATTTTGATTAGCTTATGAAGATGTAGCTATTTCGTTCGTATATCGATGAACAGCTGCTACTAAAGCTGAACCTTTTGATGAACCATCTTCAGAAAGAACTAAACGATGCTAAAAACGTAAAACAAAAAAAAAACATAAATTTAATCGATTTAATTAATTAAAAACTTACTGTTCGTGGTACAAGTCGACTTAATGTACGAGTAAGATTTTTTTTGAATTTTCCATGATGACGAAAAAGTGTACCATCAATACCTACTGTTACCGAAGGTAGATTGACACGATTAACAAGAACAGCAATAGCTATAATAAAATAAAATATATTCATAATGACATGATTGATAATAATTTCTTTCTTTTACCTGCTGCAGCTAATCTTGATGCTCGCAGTGATACTGTTTTGCAAACTTCACGAATAATATAACAATCATCATAGGATGGTTCTTGAATACCAATTGACGTAAGAATTAATGACGTTACAGATAAATCTTCCGCTATAATAGAATAATTTAGGAAGATTTTTATGTAAACAAATGTATACTGGTTTTTTTACTTGTATCACATTCAATATCGGCAACATGTTTTGCATAGAAACTTCCTATGAATAAATTAAGAAAAATTTATTAATATATTCATTTATATATTGATCTACCTCGTAGACTAAGAAAAATATTATAATCACGTCCAAGACTTGGAGATTTGTGCATACGACCTGGTAAAAGAATTGATCGTTGAACTAAATCAACAATAATCAAACGAACAATTTCACCAAGATAAAGAGCTAAAAAAAAAGAACAAAAGATTTGCTTTCATTTTATTAAAAAATTCTTTTTTTTTTTAGTATTTTTACCAGAAATCATTTTTTCAAATACTTGTTGATTCGGTGTTAAACTTGATTCATCAAGTTCACGATCAATACTTGTTCGAATAAAATCAAGACAAGCATGCTAAAGAAATTTTATTAAATATTTTAATTAAGTTATATTACACTACGATGTCACATATAGATATTTTTTAAGTTTCCTCCTCAATGGTAATAGCTAACAAAAAAAAATCAGAAAAAAAAACATTTGTATAGCTGAAAGGATTCTCTATCGAGATCGGATATAGACCCGAAGACTTTAGGTAAAAATACTTGAATGAAAGTCTGCAGAAAGCATCAACATTTTGACATATGTCTATGATAAAAGAACTTATTCAGAAAAAAATAACTCTTGTAAAGAATCAAATTTAAATGAAGAGTGAATATGCCTCGTTTTACTTGAAATAGTAAATAAATTAGAGATAAATAAAGGAGAAACTATAATAGTTTCAATACTCACTTTGCCCAAAGCACCCCATTCTGTATTGATAACAACTTGTTTTGTTGTTTGATTTCGTACACCTGTCCATTTCGGTACATTTTCAATGTTTTCAAAATAACATGCATTTGTTCCTAATAAATTATTATATCAAAGAATAACACAAAAGAAATAATTTTTATTTACCAGTGCCAAGAATAACACCAACTTTACAATCACGATATATTGAACTACATGCCATTAATGTACCTACAGTATCATTAACTAAAGCCACAACTTGAATTTTCAAACTCTAAAGATTTCTTTCTTTGATAAAATCATATGAATTTAACTTTTGTTTTTTTTTATATTGTATTACCTTTCGTCGATCAATTGCTTGTTGTAACATAAGTACAACATCATGACCAACAACACCGGTACAACTAAAACCTTTTGTCCATGATACTAATGTTGCTTGACTTAAACTTGTTTGATTACATGGAAAACTGAATGTAAAAGCTAGAATGATAAAAAAAAAACTAAAAAGAATGTTTTTTTTAAGATATATTGAATTCATTCAAATTTTTACACTTTTTGTCTTTCAGGTTAAGTTATATCACATATTTAGAAAATCAGTTATCTTACAATAATTCAAAGTGACATCATCACTGTCTTAACTAAAAATGTTTAACCATCGGTCATGCGGAACTGTGATTATTATAACTAGATGTCACTAAAAATCACTTAGATTTATAATAAAAAACTTTATGTGGAATTCTTTTGGAATTAAAAGATTATCATAACTTATTCTGGATAGTATATAGAGCCTGTCGGATCCGAACTTAGTCGAGCTCTAATGGTATATAACATATTCCAACAGAAACTTCTATGCAAATAAATGAGTTTTTTTTTGTTTGTTTCATTCTTGCACATTCAACTTTTATATCTGATACTGAACCGAATGTATTAAATATTCTAATATAACTTCATATAAATTCAACAAAATGAATTCTTAAATCAACTGTTGAAATAAAAATAAAATAACAGGTATGTTTTACTTAAAAATAAAATCGCCGAAGGTATGTAAACTGACTAATTAATGATGATTTCTATCAAAAGAGTTAATGTAAGAAAAGAAATTGGTACGAATCATTTTTTATGCTCGCAAAACATGAAAAAACTACTTTTACCTTCCTAATCGTAACCATGCGTATCATGACCATGACCAAACATGATGATGATGATGTGATTCTCTATTTCACTATTACATCTCAATAAATGAAAACATTTGTCGAATGATATGATTTAATCTATTCATATAATTATGAATTACTTATTTAAAACTTATTTCTATTCCAATCATGCATAATTTTATTTTCATTTATATAGAATTGATAATAATAAACTCAAATCTATATTATAAAAACTATAATAACAAATTCTTTTTTCCCTCTGATCTATTCAAATTACAGAGAATATCCAATTGTCTAGAAAATAGTAACTTTTTTTTTTACAAGAAACACTAATCTTTAACTTGAAACCGAACAAATACATCTATGTAATTGTCCTCATCAGTTCAACAGAAAAGCAACAATTTTAAAATTATCATATGAAAATGTTTTTTTTTGTGTTTTACCTAAATCAAATGTATAATCGACTGGTTTATTTAAATTTAAACCATTATCATCAATAAATCTTTGTAAACATTCAGCAATATAATCAAATAATCTTTCACCTTCACCTAATAATAATGAATGTGGTATAAGAAATATTTTATTTTTTAAATTTATTCGATTTCGTCCTTCAATAACAACATGTGAAACACGAAAATTTGAACCACCTAAATCAACAACTAAATATTCTCCTGTTTCTTGACCATTTGGTCCACGATGAACATATGTTGGAAACATTCCTAAATCATTTTTATCAATATCACCATCAGATTTTAAACTATTTATCATTTCTGTATTTAAATTTGCCATAACACGACGAAGTTGTTCATCTGTTAATTCAAATGGTTCAAGAACATGTTTAACTTCATCACGTAATATAACACGTTTAGAACGTTGTATACGTTGATGAATATAATATGTACCAAGACCAATAGCTGTTAAAGCACCTGCTGTTATTCCAAGAAGTTTTAAGGTTTTTATAACATCTATTTTAACTTCAATTATATACTTTGATGTAGATGACATCTAAAATGGGAATTCTTTTTCTTTTATATGAGTAAGATAAATTATAATATTTTCTTAAACCGAATACAAAACAAAATTTTATGTGTAGAAGAAAAAAAAAATTTCTAAAAATTAAGTGCAGGTCAAATATCACAAATTAGTTTTTTGTCGAGATTATTTGTTTCATTTTTTTTAAACTTCTTCCATTTGTAAACCAAATGAATCTTGATTTGGTGTTTGATGAAAAATTGCATGAAGTGCAATAACAAATACCGATGCACCTATACATATAAATTAATTATTATAATAATATTCTTTTTTTTTCTTTCTCATTTTAATTACCAAGTATCCAAAAAATAGCTGAACCAGCTCCAACTATAATCAACAATGGAATACAAAGACAAATCACAGCTAAATATTGATGTGGCAATGGTATTTGACGTCCTGTAACAAAAAAATATACTTATACATAAGAGTATTTATTAATCGAGTAGTACTTATATGTACCGCAGCTTGGATTTCTTTTTTTGAAGAGCGAACTCATTTAGAAACGCAGCATTATTTTTCCTTTAACGGTAACAGCTGGAACCATTCAGAGGAAAGGTTTGATTAGTCGAAATAATTTTTCTGCTCAGAATGGATACTTGTTAAATTCCCATTAATAGGTTTGAGTGAAAGGTCGATTGAAAAAAATCAGTTTTCTAGATTCTATCAAAATTGTTTTGCAAACAAATTCATATAACAGAAAATAAGATGTTCCTACATTTTACACTTCGTTGAATATAGTCTCGGAGATATCTCATTCAAAAATGTCTCACTCAAATCTGAGTTCGAATCGAACCAGGCTTCAGTAATTCGAGTGTTACACTGAAGTTGATCAATCATCATAAACATACTCAATATAATTATTATGGAGTAAAAAAAACGAGGCTGTGTTATATGGAAATAAAATTAAGGATATTAAACGATCAATTTATCTTCGTCGAATGTATTATACACTTTTACAAAATCGATTATAGTTTAATCAATTAGTTTTTTCATTTAAGATATTTAAATAAGATTACATACCCATAAGTGTTATTTGTTTTTCTCGATTTTTTATACTAACTAAATAACAACCAGCAACCATTGCTAATAGAACAAAAAGTAAAGATGGTGTTGTAACGCTAATTAAAATAAAAAATGAGAAAAAATATTTTATTGAAAAAACAAACAAGCAATGAAAGCTTACACACAATAGATTGATAAAATAATAATAATAATAACATAATTTGTTTGAAAATGTTCAACATTAGTAATAAGTCGTCGAGTAGCTTTAGAAAAATAATCTAAATATTTTTAATTCTAAATTTTAATATTCTAAATACCTGTTCCAATATTTCCAGGTGGTTTAAATTTAGCTGTATTAAAGAATTCAAACCATGGACGTAAACTTTGACGTTGTCGAGTATATAATTCTTGAACGTTAATTTTTTGTAGATTTGGTAGTGACCAATTTGCACTGAAAAAAAAACAAATGAAAGAAAATAACTCAAAAAAAACACCAATCATCATGATATTATGCTTACATATTATTTTCATTTGATATTTCAGCCATTTGTATTAAATGAAACGAGGATAAACCAATTTGATAATCGAAAGGACTTGATAAACATAAACAGTTCTAAAAATTAACCAATCCGAAATGAAATACAGATGGCATTAGAAGATAAAACGAATTTTTTCTGACACATTAAAATTTTTTTTCCTCAAAGTAATATTAATGTTGAACAATTTATTTAAAATAGATTTTTATGTTAATATTAATTAGCCAATTGAAGATTTTCATATTGACATTATACCGAACAGAATCATATGATTTTTTTGTGGTTGATTTATATATATATTGCATTCTTGAGTTTATTATTATCTGAAGAGAATTTTGTCACATAAAGAAATATGATAGTAATATTATATTTGATTGATCAAATATCAGTTCTATTTCTTGATATTCATATTAATAATTCTTTGATCGTCTTGGAATAAATGGCTATTTTGTTCAGACAAATGATCATACTAGTGCCCACAAGTCAAAAATGTATTATCATATCGAGCCCTTATAGCTTAAACGAAATTTTCGAACATGGAAATCGAATAGAAAGAATATCATTGAATTTATTTCCAGAGATTTTAGTAACTTCGGTAATTCAACAGTTGGGTCTGAGTGTTTTTATATACAAATAAACTTTCATAGAGCGACAATTCATGATAGATGTCGTTGTATGTTATAGATGGATGATTTACCAATAATTTTTGTAGATTTTTCTATAGAATTGATAGGTTCTTTCGTCATTTGATTTGTCTAATGTAATAAATTCATATTGAATGCAGTTCGTAATATTTATGAAATGAATGGACTATATTTATTTTTCTGTAATCGTCAGCTGCTTTTTAATGAGTCATTGACTGACGGATACCTCGTGTGCTATTAATTGCTTTCAACTCATTTTTTTTTCATTTTTGTATACTACAGATGTATTTATGTCCTTACCAACACATTTAACTGCTAATGCTTCACAATTACCTTTTTTCTGTTCATCAAATTCACTTATATTCTATCTTGGTAAGAAAAAATGTTGTTTGTATCATTATAATTGATTACATTTTTTAATTTTTATTTTAGATGATCCCAGTTCATTCTCTCAAGTATTAACACTTTACAATCCATACGACTTTGTTGTTCGTTATAAAGGTAAATAGAATTTTTCTTTCTTTCTTTTTTTATTTATTTTATCTATTGATTTATTTTAGTATTATGTACAGCTCCAAAAAAATATTCATTTGCTGAACCACAAGGAGAAATTCGTGCACAACATTCTGTAGATACGTAAGAAGATAAATTAATTCTATTATGATTATTAATAATAATAAGATTTATCTTTATTAGTATTGTACGTCTTCTTGATACATCATCATCATCAACAAATCAGAATGTTGTGCATAAAATTCGTGTACAATTTTTTGATCGTCGAAAATCTCAAGATCTTATTGGTAAGTAGATGTTATCATCAGTTTCAAAATTTTTTAATCGAAATTGAATTATCACTTTGAAGATATGAGATCATTTTTTTCGATCTTATGGATTTGATGACTAGCATACTTGACATATTTATCAGATGACTAGAGCTTATCGGGTCGCGACCACCTCGACGAGTTCTATTAGTTAATAAGAAAACAAATAAATTCTATTATTATTTTTTTTTTGTAGGTAAACGAGATATAACTTGTTCAATTTTATCTTATAAACCATTGGAACAAAATTTTGATGACGAACCTAATATAACTGGTACAACAAGAAGAAATCGATCGAATACAACAACAACAACAACGACAACAACTAATCCAATAACTGTTACACAACAAGAAACACGTAACTTTTCAAAAACAAAATTTTGTTTTTTTTATTGAAAAATAAAAATTATGATGATTTGTTTTTTTTTCAAGGAGATCCAGTGGTTGTTATTATTTTAACTATACTTGGTGCCCTATGTGCATTTGTTCTTGTATTACCAACAATACCAGATAATGAAAATAGTAGTTTCAGTACACGTATACCATCATATTTACATATGACTACTAATTCAAAAGTAATTGCAAGTTATATACTCGGTAAACATTTTTTTTTTCTTTGATTTATGTTGAGATTTATCTTTGTTTTTTTTTCCTATATAGGTCTCTTAACAGTGGTTTTGATTCGACGATAATAATTATTTATTTGCACGATTGATGGAAACTGTGCAGATAGCTTATTTCTCCTTTTGTGTGTGTATGCTGTTTTTCTTTTCTTTTTATTATACCATCCATACTTTGTTCTTATTACGATAATTGTATTTTTTTTCTTCTTTAAAAAAACAAACCAAACAAAATAAAATGTACTATATGGAAAATGTTGTAGAACATTGCATAGAGACAGAATGAACCTATGCTTCCAGTGCAAGGAAGGAATAGTATGTTCATTGTCTTCTTAGAAATGTTGAATATTCTACAAAATTTTTTGCAATCTCGAGGAAAATGGTGACAGAAAGGGAATTTTAGTTCTGCTTTTGATATATATATATGAAGATGTCTTTTCTTAGACAAAATGTCATAAAAAGCTAATAGGAAAACGTGTTTGAATTGTTCAATATGTTTTGTTTTTCCTTAATAATTGGACAATGAGAAAAAATAAAGAGAATGAAATACTTCGCTTTTTAATATTTACTAAAAAATTAAAATAAACATTTCTAAGAAATTTTAACTGAAAAATAATCAAAAAATACACGATCATTTTATTTATTGAAATTGTGTAATATTCGATGTCATATATTTTGTACTTTTTCGTTCTACATGAAAGTCAAATATAAGTAACTCACTTGTTTTATCGAGTTTTTCTGTTTCGTTCTAGCTTTTAGTTCTTTCAATAAAAGGTGTGTGTATACGTATCCCAGTATACATTTTTTTTTTGTTTATAATATGGTTCCTACGTTTTGATGACGAGTATCATGTGACTGCAACACTTGTGACTCGCGTTCTTTTTTTGTAACATATACAGTCAAAAAAAGCAGATAAAATTGCTTGATTTCGAATATTATGTATATATATTTTTCAATAGCAAAAGCATAACTTGTATGTTTATACTTCACGGAATGGCCTTTTTTTGCTTTTGCTATGTTAACATTGGTAAAAGAAAAAAGAAAGAGAAAAAGATAGTGTAATACATTAATGAATCAAGGCTACAAAAACAGCACAATATCAATACTAAATGGTGTAGTGTTTATTTATTTCATAATTAACGTATGCATGTGCAATAATATTAAGACATGTATCTAGTCTAACCTATGGATATTTTTATCAAATAAAAGAAAATCTTCTTCATCAAGGTCTCTTTTACACATAATTTTCTTCAAAAGAAAAGTGTATAAGTCATGTATTCATCAACCAAATCTACATAAAATATAGTATGATAAATAAAATATTTGAATAATTTATTTAACTCGGTTAAGTAAGATTTTCAAATAGAACTATGATTGACATCATTCTTTTTTTTTCATAGATATGCTGATTACATATAGAATTCAAGATTTTGATTTCGATTAAATGACCTATTATAAATAAAAGCCAGGTGCAAAGAATTTTTTATTATATATTAATTCCAGTCTGCTCAAAATTTACGTGGTTAATTTTATACGTCATTGATAACTTTAATTCATATAAACTATCCTTATAAAAAATCAAAGTCAAATAAAAGGTAGGTATATCCCGTTTTGCCCGGCATGGTTCATATATGATCTAAATAAAAATAAAATTATTTCAAACGTACCATTTGTAGCATCTGTTGTTGATGGTGAAATCGCATCTCTATGTTTTGACCATGTAAAATCAACTGTAGCATCATTTTGATAAACACATATTAATGAATCTTCAAACTTGACTACACGTGGTGATGGACATATACTATTAAAAATTTTCACATCATCATCAACAACAACAGGTATAAAATAAATAATCTATTTTACCTGAAATAGTTGAATGTGTTGAGTCACGAATAGTTCCTAAATTAACTGAACCATGTGTCCATTGATTACATGGTGTTGTTTTAGGTCGATGTCAAATAGCAATAGCTGCTGATGTTTCATTTTGCATACGAACATTAAGTGTTCTATCGCTTGAAACAAATGTTTGATATCAAAAATCAAAACAAAATGTGACACCTTTTGATAATGAACGAAAATCAAACGTAGAAAAATAAAAAGGACCACTAGTTGATTCAACTGATACATATGCATATGCTGTCGGATCAAATGCAATTGTCCATGATTTTTCAGTTGTTTCTATTTACCAATCACAAAATGTATTCTCTTCAAAATCACATTCATAAACAATTTCTTGTAGTGTAACAAGTACTTGAGTTATTGAAGTAAAAAAAGCACAATTACCACTTTGACTTAATGCAACATCATTAATAGCTATATCAGATTCGTAACCTTTTTCCTTTAAATAAAATTATAGATAATAAATAAAGAAAAATAACTATATATCAATGTACATGCCACAACATCTTCAAATATGAAATCATAATGATCATTTGTTGATGATATATCAATTTTAAAATTTAATCATACATCAGGGTTACATGAATTTCGGCCCACGGAATTTTCGGCCCGGTATGAAAGTTCTAAGAGAACTTTGGTTCATGATCTCATTGATCTTTAAAATAAAAAACCTAATTTGAGTAATTAGTTGCAACATATCGTGGTGCTGAGTGAGACGGCATAGTGCTTAGGGTATGTATCCTTTTTACATTAGCAATGGCAATTACCCATCATGTATTCACATCCTGAACTTCTACATCAGCGCCTACACACCCACAACCACATCCTGA